CAAGTCCATGGGGCCTTTTGTGAGCCTGAAGCTCCAGTTTCTCTGTCCCTTACTAATGGTTTAATGCAGAAGATTAATGGTTTAATGCAGAAGATGTTGAGATAACAAGGGGGATGCTGGAAAGTACTACCAAGGCTGGGCAGGTCACTGCTGGGGCTAATTTTGTTCTCCTGAGCATCAGGGAAGCACTCTTAATTTAGAATGATGGTATGGAAAATGCATCTCTGTTGTTAGCTGCAGAGGAGCCAGAGAGTGTGTTTCCACCAGTGGATTTGGAGGAGGCTGGTGGCTGTCAAAAGATGTGGGTAATGCTGAAAGGTGACCAGAGAGTGGCTCTGCTGACCTGAGCAGAGTTCTTCCACCTTCAATTTGCAGATGTATATGGCTGCAGACCTCTGGGGCTGTCAGTGTTCATTACCTAACTCCTTAGCTGCCTCTGCAGCCCTTTCATATCTATCTCCTCAGATGCCTCCCGAAGCCTTGGCAGCCGTTTCATCTGAAGGAGCTAGGTTTTTCACTCACTTATTATCATATTCTGATCTGAAAAAAATTACTGTTTGCTTTAATTATTAACAAAGCCTCTTTTTCCTACTTTTGCCTATCTGATGAAGCCAGTATGCATAACTGAGACTTAAAAGCAAGGACTTCATTTATTGAGGAGTTGGCAAGTGATGCTTTGGGTTGCTTATAGAGGAGTTTGTGGCTCTCACAGCATGGATATATAGCTGTAGGCTTCACTGCATGCCCTGCCTGTTTTTTCATGCCAGGGTGAATCATTGTTCTGTACCTTGAATTAAGCTGCAGAGCTAAGCTGTTCTTACCCTGGGCCAGGCTGGCTCCCTAAAATACTTAACTCACTAATGTTAAGGAAAGTGGGGGTTTATCACTCTGCATAGCCTTAGAAGATATTAAACAGGAAGAAATATTTAAAAAAAAAAAAAAAAAGTGCATCAAGGGAAAAAATGCACAATTATACATGAGATTGGTGGTGAATGTATCTTCTGTAAAGAAGTGGTACAAAAAATCTGTCTGAAGCTCAGCCTGATGAGATGCACACTACTAAGAAATGTGTATCACAGAAAATAGCACTGCTCTCTGGAGGAGAAAGGGAAAAAATCCATCAAGGTGTTTTGATTCTTTTTCCAGCATAAAATAAGTTTCATGGTTTAAAATTATGGAATCTGCTGCACAGCTATAATTACAACACCACAATTCTGCCTCAAGTATTGGCAGAAGAAATCAGAGCTGCGGATATAAAAGGCTCTTGTCTTTTTGGTGGCCAGACCACAAAAAAACTCTTCTTGGTAAACTCAGACAGGTGGGCTTTTCAAGCACCAAATGTTGCAATTTGTAACAAAAATCTAAATATATCATCTTTTAGTTATCTTAATGATTAGGCTTTCATATTGGTTTCATTTCTCTGCTCTTGGTGGATTCACATTGGAAACATCCATGAGACCAGCACTTTTTTTTTATGTAAAAGGGGTTTCCTTTAGAAAGAGCTATTTTGCAGCCTGTCCAACAAAGCCAAAGAGCACATGCTCCCTCATTAGCCTGGTGAGGTCTCCTGAGCATTGCATTGGGAATAAAATAGTCTTTGAATACCAGCAGGGTTTTTTTAAGTACTGGGAGAACTGGAGGGCGGTGTCCACATTTAATACCATGGTGCTTGCACCTTGCCAGACAATTGCTTGAGAAGTTGTATAATTTAATATTTGATTATGTCTAGGTTCTCATAAAAGCTTAGACACTGGCAGGAGCAGGGTTTACTCTCAGCTGCCCATTGAGCCACAGCTTTTGTTCCCTCTGCCACTCTGAATTCCCTGGCAGCTGAGGCCTGGATGGATGCTCACCTCAGTTTTCTCTTTTGCAGAGGTGCCAACGGAGAAGTTGGCCTCCATGGCATCACTGCGAAGCCTCAACCTGCGGGCAAACCCCGTCAGCCCAGAGGTGCGGCTGCTGGTCCGGCCCCTTATCCCCTTCGACCTGCTGCTGTCACCAGAGAAGCCCATGCCCAAAGCCTGAGTGGGTCTTGGGGTGCCTGGGCAAGCTCTCCTGAGGGGTCACTGTCTGTGAGAGTGGTTTGGCTTAGGTCAGTCCTGCTATGCCGCTATTTCTGTCCCAAACCTGCAGCAAGGCGGACAGTCCCTCATTTTTCCTTAATTAAAAGCAAGCAGCGAGGTTCCTCTGTGAAGGGATGGCTTTGCCAGCTCCCGAGCCAGGTAATTTCCTGCTTTGTGCTTTAGGAAGACAGAGGAGCCACGATACATGTGGCATGAGGTCTGGATAAAATTGGGGGAGTTGGATGTTTGGCTATATCCCTCCTGCCTGGCTGGTGATGGGGAGCACCCAGAGCTGGGATGGGGGGGGACGTCCCTGCAGCTATAAGGGTTCCCCCTGGATCTACTGACATAGCAGTGTGCCAAGTGCCTGATTAAATGTTTTCCTGTTACATGAAGGTTTTGTATGTGCTTAAATTTGAATTATCAGTCTTCTCCTTAAAGAAGCCTCTTTGCACATCCCCAAGGCTGCTTATTGAAGCTCAGGCTGAAGCCTCCAGCTGAATTCCACCCAGATCTGAGCGGTATTTTGCTGGATTCTTCCAGGGAAATTGTTGGGAGGGTTCCCGTGTTTTTTCACTGTGGAAATCAAAGCGATCCAGTGCCAGTGGATCTCCACACACTGCTCACCCCATGGGTGTCCCCAGAAGCACACACCCACATCCTGGGTACTGTGGGTCTCCAAGATGTGCCACTTTCTCTCCCTGGAAGAAATGGGCTGTGGGGTTCAGGATGTGGTTCAGAGAGAGTGGTTCCTTGGTGGTGGAGAGGCCATTGCCAAGCATGTTAGTGTCCCTCACAGCTGACAGCCTGCAAAAAGACTCCTGGAAGAAACTGCAGGTGTTGCCTCAAAACGGCTTGTTTAAACATCTCCTGTGTTTGCTCCTTTGTTTTTTTTTGAGGGATAAATGCTCCCCAATAGTGTAAGCTGGCTGGGGGCAGTCAGGAATGGTTGCTTCTGTAAATATTTGACTTCTAGACTTGCCAAGGCCAATCTTTGGTAAAAGACCATGATAAGCAGGGGGTTGTTGATGTTGGCAATGATAGAGGAGCTGGAGTCAAGCGGAGCAGCTTTGAGTTGGGACCAGCATCCCAAAGGATCATGCTGCTTTTCCCCACTGTGTGGGTGATTTACACGAGGTGGAGGACAGTGGTCCTCCCAAGTCGTGTTGGGGGTCCCAGCGTGTTTCCCCGCCGGGGCAGGCAGGAGCTGGCATCAGCTGGAGGAGAGGGAGGCAGCAGCAGCGTGGGAACCTCGGAGTGGCGGGCGGGACCCCGACCC